TTTTTTTCTGTTAGAGAAAGCACTGGTGGAGAAATACACACTTACCTTGAACCTTGGTTTCCCCAGGGTATAGGTCCCAATAGCTCCAGTGCGGCACTGTGTCAACTTTGCCAAAACACTCTTAAGTGGAACCTGATATATACCCTGCCTCATTTCCGGTTCGTTTTCCAGATCTAAAACATTCCTCCCAGCCCATTTGAGCCCTCACTGGTTTATGTACCAAAGATGTACATTATTTCCTCAAAATAGATTATCACTTATTCTCTCAGGTCTTAGAAACCAAACTAACATTTTAAATCAGCTGGCCTGACATTGAACAATGACCAGCTTTAATTGTGCAGAGCAATGCAATTTATAAAACAGCACCATGGCCACTGATGTTCTGCAGAGCTGGTTTCTGTTCACTGCTCCACTACAGTATCAGTATATCATTTATAGAAATGTGTAAAACTAATGCAGAGTAATAAATCTCTAAGGACTTTTAACACTTCATCTGACTAAATACTGTGAGGGCTATGAAATTAGGGAACTAAGATTGATACAGAAATTAACCAATTAGGAGAACTTAGATGATTTTTTTTTTTAAGAAATGGGGCTGAAAATTGAGGATTTTATGACATTTTAATTTCTTTTGCAAACACCGAATATGGGATAGTAAGTATTTGTGGCATGCAAACCTTCTAATGGAAAAACCATTAGTGTAGAGACAAGTTTTCTGGTCATTTATTATCATATTACTGTAAAATTGCCTAAGTCCTATAATACACAACAATATATTTTATATGTATTCTTATTAAGTTTATACTTGATAAATAATTATCTCTGTGTAAACATGAAGCCAAACTTATTTTAATGGCCATTAGTAGGTATCTGGAGAAGTATTTTTCATTGCTTTTAAATTCTCCATATTCTAGTCTTGTTCTGTATGAAAGAGAGAAATGGTATCAGGCCGATGTACATAGTGCTTGAATTTAGCTCACCTGTAAGGCAGGCCCTAATATTTGGGCAATGGATTCTAGCTCTCTACTGAAAGACATGACATCATAAGCATTTCTCAGCTCCATAATGCTTAGTGCTGAACCTCTAAAAGTGCCCTGGGCTCCCTTTACTATGGTAGCCATATTGAACCATTTTTTCAGCTTCCTGATTGATGTGCAACTGGTCAGCAAGTTAAAACTTTGGTCCTGGGCAGCCTGCCCAAGTGAATCATTCCAAATGGATATAATGACAACAATCTCCAAACTTGGCACCATCTGCCAGAGATAAAGCCTCAATACTTCACTTTGAGTCCCAGCCTCTGGCCAGTGGCAGACATGGCCCAATTCTAGTCCGTCTTGGAAAATAAAATGGCTTTTCTGTTTGAGCAGTCATATCTATGGTTACAGACCAAAGGGAAAGGTAGCAATAACACAAAAGTGGTGATGCTGGTGACATGCCTTTTTTGACTTTATGTCTAGAGTGACTTTTCTCATTAGCCACAACCCTCAGTAATCTATTATCCCCCACCCCCAATAAAAAAAAAAAAAAAAAAAAAAAAAATAGGACATTTAGAAGAAAATCAGAACTGGTTGTATTCAATTACTTTTTACAACTATTTCCTGTGCTGTTAAGAGGTTCTCTTCCTAATTAGGTTCTCATCCCTTTTAATAACTTATTCACCTGGTGGCTTCTGTTGTATTTTATTCATTTTCCATATGAAATAAAGTATTACTGTTTTAAAGAAGTTCAACATTATGGGAGATTAGGATTTTTTTGCAGTTTTCTATTGCTAAAATGGATAAACATCACTTTGTATTCCTGTATCACTCATTTATCAAATTGACTTCATTATGATTTATTATTGTCTGAGAGGCCTTTACCTACAAAAAAAGTTCAACATTTAAAATGGTACATAAAGTCTAGACCAGGAGTCAGCTAACAACACCTAGAGGGTCAAATCCACCTGTTTTTGTAGATAAAGTTTTATTGGGACATATCCATGCATTTTCATTTACATATTGTCTATGGCCGTTTTCACACTACATGGCAGAGCTGAGTAGTTGCAGCAGAGACCATGACCCACATAACCTTTATAGGGAACGTTTGCCAGCATTTTTCCTATCTTAGGCTATCTTTACACAATGCAAATAAATATATGCATTTTAGCTAGGATGTTTAAAGTAGAGAAAGTGATCAAATTAATTCCCAGTTTATTTTAGGTCAGAAATAGAAATACTCAGATGTATGGCATTTTATGCGTATTGGGCTATGTGAAAGCTCATCAGGAAAAGGCAATCTGTTGTACCTTTAAGATATTTTTAAATGAATAAATATTAAGTTATGTCTTAAAATACTTTAAAAATTCTCATTTATTTAAAATAATTTATAGGAAGTTGCTAAAAGTAATAATCATTTTATAAAAATGATAGTACAGCTAGAAAGTATTCAACATAAGCTGTCTTAAAGTCTCTAGGAACTGGATGGATGGATGAATGGACAGATGTATTTTATTATTTTCTTTGTACCCCAAATACTTTAATATAATGAAAATTTGATTTCTTATTCAGAAATTTCAACTTAAACTTTTCAGGATTTCTATTATGTTAACGTGCAGTATAATTGCGTCATGTCTAAACTTTTTCAAAGAAATTTAGAGACTTCCAAATGTAAGGATTTTTTTTTTTTTTTGGTTTTTTTAACTCAAAGCTGCATGCTGTTATGGAGTAAAAAGCCATAGTATGGCTGTCCTTTTAAACTCTAGTTGAAAGCCAGATATACTTTTGCTTGAAATGATATGGCTTTGTTACAAATAGATAACATAAAAAAATACTCTCCACTTTCTTGTGATTCATCTTTATATTTTAAGAAATGCGGATTTGTTCTGTTTTCCACCCTTTGTTTGTTTGTTTCCTGAATGCAGTGAGAGTTCATATTCAGTGTCATATATCCAGAATGTATTAGGAGGAGAGGATGTGGAAGAGCACCCTTGAGGCAGGGATATACAAGTATAAATAAAAGAGGAAAATATAGGGTATTGTAGCTCCCTCCACTCATCCCTTATCCTACAGCGGCAAAGAGTGCACTTTGAAAGGTTTCTGGAGAGATAATTTCAACGTGCAGAATCAAAATATCATGAGCTCTTGACTTTGGATAGACTATGTTGCAATTTAACCATGGAGTAAAGTCTCTTTTCATTTCCTGCACATACATTAAAGTGAGGGCCAGAAGAGGCATCCTGGGAATTGTAAACAACCTCTACTGAAGAATATTTTCACCAGTATCATTTTCTGTGATGCTTCCTGAGCAAGATAGTGCATTCATATATTCACTTTGCTTCTTCTTAGAGAACATTCTACTCTTCTTATGGAATGGAAAAGGAGCCAGTTTTCTGTCATACTGTTTCTACATCTTTGTAAGAAATGACAAATGGATTTCAATGAGGTTTATGTTTCACTCAGGGCATGTACAGAGGCCTACACATAGTAAGTGGTCAATGTATGCTTACTGTTTCCGTGAATGAAGAAACGAGCTGAGCAGCCAGTTATAGTCCATTCTGGGTCCCTGGGAATATTTCATTTTAGAAACCATCCCTGTGGTAGTAAATACGACAGTAGTAGTAAGATTAGAATGAAATGAGAGGGAAAAAACAGTAACAATCCTTCTGATATTAATTTGCTGGGGATATTGTTTTAGTGGGAGGCGAGAAAGGCAAAAACTAGTTTTGTTTTTGTTTTTTGTGCAGAGAAGGAAGCCTTTCCAAGAAAGGACAGCAGTTGAGAAAAAAAAAAAAAAAAAGAATATACTATTGCCATACACAACATGAATGAATATCTGAGACATAAAAGCCAGATACAAAAGACTTTATTCCATTTATATACAGTTTAAGAACAGGAAAATAATCCATGATGATATATGTCCATCAGTAGCCTGGGTGGGAGGGTGACTATTGACTGGGGAGAGCAAGCAACGAGGGAATCTTCTGGGTGATGGAGATGTTCTATATCTTAATCTGGATTATAGTTACCTGAGTGTATATATATTAAAAGTCAATCAAGTTCTCTACTTTCTGTACTTAAGGTTTGTGAACTTTGTAGCTCAATAGAAAATCTAATAATAATAATATGAAAATAAGTCGTGGAGGGGGCACCAAATTTAGTATGAATGCTTATAATAGAGTCCTTGGAAGAAAAGCATGGAAAACCCCTGGTCTAAAAACTCTGCCAAGTTTAATTTAGGAAACTTTTCTGAATAAGGACATTTATAGTAATTTTTTTTGCAAAACACTTCAAATCCCAGGATGGTTAGCATGCAGTAAATTCACATCTATTTAGTTTCAGCAAGGTGAAGGCTGCTGAGCATAGTTTTGTTGATTCCTTGAGGACTTATGCTTAAAAGCAATGTCTTTCTTTTTTCTTTCCAGATTGGCAGATTGCTACTTTGGCGTTACTCTTGGGCGGTGCTGCCATCATTCTCATTGCATTCCTGGTGGGTTTGATTTCTATCTGCGTGGGATCCAGAAGACGCTTCTACAGACCTGTTGCTGTCATGCTTTTTGCAGCGGGTAAATATATTCATTACTTTCAAATTGGTATTAAAGTTGCATGAACCTTTCTACCATCCTCCCTTCTCATGCAGAAGCAGTATGTGGTTGTTGCATTATGTACAAGTTGAGAGGCATTCGTTGTTTTTTAAGGTAAACTGGCTAAAAGTTTATCATGTTATCAGTTTTTAGTGTGTTAAGTGTTTCACAGAGCACAGTGGCAATTTCTAAAGTTCTAAAACATGAATAAATAATAGTTCTTGACAGGGCTGTTGCTTTAGGGATTACAGCAGATGTATTTATCAACAGTCTTTCTTCAAATCCAGTTTTTTTCCCCTTTCTTTTACTGCCCCCTTGGTAGTCTTAAAGCATCATTATTTTTTCTGATGTGAAACTGGAAAAAAAAAAAAACATCCAACATATGTACCCTTAAAGGTATAAGTCTGGACATAAACATAGTTATACTGAAAAATTATAATGTATAACTTGAAACATTAGACAGTTGAATTGAGGTCAATTGCATACTAATTAATTTAACAACCATTATTCTGTGGAGCACAGCTTGGCTTAAAATATCAACTAATGTATAATGGAGATTTTACTAAAAGTCAGGAAGCTATTAAGAAAAGGAGTTTATAAGACTAAAAGCCTAGTACATTATTTTGTGTGTTTAAATTTTCATTTAGAATAGCCTTAAATATATTGTTCTTTTTGACTCAAACTGAAATATTCTTGTGGTACCTTCAATTTACCCTGTCAATCATATCTGATTTGAAGACTGCAAAATAAGCCCTTGTGACTGTCAGTAATGAAGACACTAACAGAACCATCTAGGCTGTTAAATGGATTTTTTAAAGCTGTTTAAATATGGGACTAGATGAAATTTCTTAGGATTTGAAGGGTAGTTTGAGCTAAAAATGTAAAATCAGAAGTATTCTGCTGCCCCCTGCTGTTTGTGTTCATCTTCTTATACTGATGAAGACTGGTCAGAATGTAGGTGTCATAAAAATGAAGATCCAAAGCGCTGAAGAAAGCTAGAAATACGTCTAATTCAAATCTCTTAAGTGACTTGCTCAATATCGCATAGTGGCAGATCTAGTGGTTCATTCATTACTCCCTCACTCATTTATTCAACTCTATTGAGTGCCTATTGCTGACTTCTGATAGAGTGGAAAACATTACAAAAATATTTTGAAGTCTCAGGCAGTGACCATTGATCTCATGTGTAATAAAAGGTCTCTATTGTGAATCATATAGTACAACATGAAGATTCTCCTAAGGAATCCAACACTATTCTCTGGTTTATTTCTTAGTTCATAGATTTACCATGGCTCTATTTCTATTTTTAAAATGAAATAACTTAGATATTTTAGCTGTAGTATGTTTGCCTTTGTAGCTAGGATTTATTAACATAGTGATTAGGTAATCAATTATAGAATTTCTTGATAGATTGTTCTGACATGACATACCATTCTTTAAAACTGGAATTATGTTTTGAATAATTTTTAGAATACTCAGATATTTCTGATTTTAGGATGATAATAGAGGTATTCTAGACATTCTCTTATAAATATCCAAATTATTATGCTACCTAGTTACTATCCCATTTAGCCTTTAACTTACCATATAATGGCATGTGCAGCATCTGTAAAGTGGTGTTTAGAGAACTCATTATAAAACTTGCTTAGAAAAATAACTAGAAGTTTCCAATTTTTTTTTTCTAAAAAAAGTTCTGTATGTTTTTCCAAGTATGAAAATATGAAAATAAGTTCTGGTTGTAACAGAAAACATTATAAATGAACATAAGTTAAAGGTAATGGATTTGGTCAAAATGAAGATTTTGATTAAGCTTTCACTGCCACAAATATTAGTAAATAATAAGATAATGAAAGGAATCCCTACAGCAATAGTAATGTAGTGTTATTCTAATGTAGTGAGACCTAAAATGAGCATTATACTGCTACATTTTTAAAACGTGCATGTGCTGAGATTTAATTTGACTCATTCTTTTTTGACACTGTGCTTATGGAAACTTTTTGAAATGACCTTTAGTTTACTGTTCACTTTGCATATAAGCAGGGTAAAACTTGCTGGTTATTTGAATCATGTCATGAAAAGGTTTCTCTCCCACCTGCAAAAGCCATTAAGGAGTAGCCTGTAGCTGATTTCTAGAAAAGATATTCATTACACATAATAATCTATTATTGATTTAGGCCTAAGATTAACGAAGTTGGAAAATCTGCATACTTGAAACAATGCTAGCTAAAATAATGGTGGTTTATTTTGCTTGCTTCTTAGTAAACAAACTTATACTAGTGATTGGCTTGTCTCATTTGTAATTCAGTTTAGTGATTCTTTGGAATGTGTATTTGGAGACATTGCTCCTTTTTATTCATCTTGGTGTACTTGAAAATGGTCTGCATTTCCCCTCTTTTCTCAAAATGTTTTCTTCTCCAAATAATATCAAGCCTTATCTTGGTGTTTACACATAAAGAGAATGATATCTATCTCAACAAAGAAGTATTCTCTCTTTTCTTCGGCTGAGACATGTAGCACGTAAAATAAAAACAAACATAGCACTACCACATAGAAACATCTGGCACAGGACTACATATTTACTTAATTCAGTACCATGTGCTGTGCCAAGTACTCTCAGGCACTCAATAAATAGTTGAATGACTGATGGAAAGAAGACTAAGGTATGTGGGTTGTAATGTGGTAGGGGAAAATAAGCATGTAAACAACTAGCTAACTGTAATTGAGTTTTTCTTGAACCTTTTCTCTCTTTGCAATTTATGAAGCAGTAAGTTTCTTTATGTAACCACAAAGCTAAGACCAAAGCAGTTCAAGAAAAGTAATAGTTATAAAATGATTTTTTTGATTTATTCACGTTTTCATTCATTTAACAAATATATGTTGGCCATCTATAGTGTGTAACTATACTTGGTGTTAGATAGTATGCTCTAAGGGTTTTTACTAAAAGCTGATGATTCTCATAAAGAAAGATAGTCAAAGAGATTTTAAAGATTTGTTTTCTTTGTTTTTTTTTTTTTATCTTTTTCTCTGAGGTCCTTAATTTAGGGTGGGCTTGTTACCTGCTTGAGTACTTGTTAGAAGAGCTAAGAGCTAGCCATCACTGCAGCCCATCTAAAATGTTGTCCCATGTTCCACAACTCTCTTACTTACTGGTCATAGAAGTCTAGATTTCAAAATTAAGATGTTATCTATAATAATAATAATAATTAATAATAATAATAATTAAGCACCTACCATGTGTCATACTACTAGACCTTAAAATTAGGTATTTCTTTTTCTCATTTTTATCAGTGAAGAAATAGGTTCAGAAAGGTTAAATAATTCCCCAAGGTTATCCAACTAGTAAGATGCAGAGCCAGAGTTTCTAATCAGGGCATCTATCTATCTGACTTGAAAACCCAAGCGAGGATTCACGAGTCACCTTTACTTGGGTATATGTAACATGCAGAAAAAACAAGAGCAGAAGCAGCCTTGAATTGTGAGTTCACCTGCCAGCTGTGTGCCGCAGTCGAAGCCCATCCTGTAACTACAGTTACTCCACCTCTTGGGAGCAACACCTGAAGGTAGACATGAGATGTCATAAAGATCACAAACTGATCAGGGCAGTATGACTGAACCATAGCACATCATGAAAGCTGTGCATGTTTCCAGTGGAGTTGACTAGAGCATATTTCTTATTGTGTGACTGACAATGATAGATAATACATGATGAAATTCTGATAACTGACATCTAGTTCTCACTTAAGACTTAGTGAAATTAGAGCAGTGTACTTGAAACAATGCTAGCTAAAACAATGCCTCTTTCTGGGTCCTCTTCTTTTGTTGTCTGGCTTTACAGATCTTTTTAAGTCCCACTGGGACTTAGGATGATTGCTTGCTTTTATTCCAAGGCCTTTACTATTCGTAGAAAATTCCCAGTCTTTTATAATTCGTATTTTAAATAACAGAATCCCCACTAATTGTTTTATTAACGATGTTTGCTTTTTGTTATTTCTGCAAAAAGCCTCCTGTAAATGAATGTTTATGCAGAATGACTTTTTTTTTTTCAGATTCCTACAACTGCTTTCCATCTCTGAGCTATCTCTGATTAGAGGCTTGTGTTTTGTAGCCCTCCTCACCATCCCATAACCCAGTGAGATGGCTGGAGGTATTGTGAGTCTAGATTTTGACAGGAAAATCATAATCCAGCTTAAATTAAAACTAAAAAAAGAGTTCTATTCACAGATCTTTGTTAACATCAAACTATCTTTTGGCTAGAACAATTTACAGTATCATTGCCAATAATTTCTTATGCACTACTACTTTTAGTTATAGATTATATTTTAAAAAGAAAAGAAATTGATAACTTCATATTAATTAGCCCTTAATGTGCAAATGTTTTTATTCTCCAAATAATCATTTCCTTTATGTACATGCTATATTTAGGGACTCATCTGCTAATTCCTATCAATGCTCTCTTTAAATTATCTTCTAAGTCTGTAGCTTCTTTTCATATACCACCATTACTGCCTTAGTTGAGGACATAACTCTTCATTAAGTAGATCATCTCAGTCCTCCAATGTGAACTTCCCCTACTTTGTTTTATTTTTCTGTGATAACATCTGACTTAAAATGACTATGTGACTCCTTCCTTTTCCTTTTCTTAGAATTCAGTTATTCAGTTTTTCTTTTGTAGTCATTTTTTTACATTCTCTGATCTTTCTTTCTCTCTGATGTCACCTTAGTCAATACAGCAGACAGGTATCCATTCATGGACTAACCTTCTAAGGGCCTGTCTTTCTCCATTCACCTCCCCATTCAATCTGTCTTGCACATAAACACATGAAATGTAGTTCTGAAATACAGATCTGTTCTTGTCACTTGCCCCCATTGATTTCCCTAGAGGCAGATCCCGAGACAAGGAATCAAGTGCAAGTACTTCATCTGGGAGGTAAAAGAAGTGATAGAGAAAGTGAGTCAGGCAGCCAATAAAGAGTACGTTATCAAACCAGTTGTTAACTGTAAGCAGCTGGAGCTTAATCCTCCTGGAAAATCCAGACACCAGGGTAGAACACACACCTCAGAGTTATCTCACTGGAAGGAATAGGGAATGGAGTATTTATGAACAAAATTCTGAGAATCATTGGTAAGGGCTGTTGGTGATGATGGGAGATAGAAGTGTTAATTTCCCAGAATGCTGGGCCTGCCCTACGGTCCGACTAGGAAGCTTGAGTGACCAGAGGAAAAGTCAGGCAAAGAAGTATACGTGCTGACAGTTATTAAGTCAGGCTGACATACTGGAGTGATGAGGATGAGATGTATGTGAATAGAGCACCAACAGCATGTACAATTAAACTAACCTCTGAGATATCTCCTGTAGAAACCAGTCTATTATTTTTTATGACACACTAAGCCTTTTATAGTCTGAACCAAACATCTCCATCTGAATGTACTCTTCATTCCACCCATGCGAATTTTATTTTCTATAGGCACACCTTCTTATACCTCTTAGCTGCAGACAAACTGCTTCTTACCACAGGTCTTTTCATCTTTCTCTTCTGACCAAGTCCTGTCTGCCCTTCAAGAACCAATTCAAATGATGCTTCCTCTTTGAAACCCTCCCTTTCTCCGGACAGAAGTAGTGCTTGAAATATTGTTAGAGCTCAGTAAACATGTGATGAATGGATTATAAGTGAACATACCTCTACTACTACTATTGGACACATTCATTTGCAATTATCTGTGTGTGTGTGTCTCCACCTTAGAATATGAAATATCAAAGGGCAAGAGCCAGGTCTTGTCTCATCTGCTTCCCCCAAAACACAGTGGGCATCCAATAAATGTTTGTTGAATTATTCAAATATTTCCTTAGAAGAAAATGTTGAATATTTCAATATCGAACATTATGAGTATTTCAGTATTGAAAACATTGAAAAATATCCCCTCTAAGAAAACTATCAGTAACAAGAATTAGTACCTGCAAGTTCTTCTCATGCTTCTATCCACACAATTTCATGGTCAGTAGTCTTGTTGTTGCCTCTTTTTAAAAAAGTGGGGAGGAGGATTAAAATGAAATTCAAATACCCTTCAAATTCTGAAATGCTACCTAACTTTACCTTTGTTGTTTCTGAGGTAGAGCATAGTGATTACCACAGCCAGTGCCTATTATGTATCATTGGTTGGTGGTAAACTAGAATAAAGTATGGTGGTATTTTCTTGAGTTCTGAACTCATTAGGTTTGTTTGTTTCCTTTGCAGCATCTACAAAAGGCAGGAAGGCATTTTTACTTGCATCTATGGATTTTATTAAATGGAGTTATATTTGTTTTCTCAATTTTGCTATTACATGCATGTTTTCTCAGTGATACCAAAACGTAAAGTAACTCAGAGGCATAAAGCATTTTAGGGTAATTTCCATTTGGCTATACCACTATAAAGTTTTATCTCTAAGAAAACTGCTCTGGAGAGTATGCCAGTGGAGCCTCATAAAGTTGTATTTCCACTTTTCCACTAGAGAGAAATTAAGTCATTATATATTATACCATGAAGGCCAAATAGTTGCTAAATAAAACACTTTGAAATGAAAATTAAAAGCAATCTAGCTAAGCACATCACTCCAGGGACTGGCTGATTCACAAAAAAAGCAGTATAGTCTTTTAGAATGTAATGCACATCAGTTATTACTTCTGCTCAAACTCCTTTAGCAGCTGCCCATCACACACTTAGAATAAAATCCAGGCCCCTAGCCATAGTTCACACGATCATCCCTGAATTGGCCCCTGCCTGTCTTTTCCCTCTCATCTCATGCTACTCCCCTGTTGTTCTATGTACCACAATCACAGCATCCTTACTGATATTCCACTCCACTCAGTGTGTTCCTGCGTCGGTTTTGCACTTTCTGTGCCCTCCACCCAGGTTGCTCACTCCCCCCACTGTATTGACCTGCACCCCTCACTTCATTCAGGTCTATGCTCTAATGACTCCTCCCCAGAGAGTCCTTCAGCTCTCTATCTGAAGAGCATCCTGCATCTCTCTGCCTCTTATTTTCTTGCTTTCTTATATTTTCATTGTCTCTTAGCAACACTTGCTATATTCTGTATTTATTTACAATGGACTGCCTACCCATGAGGGTAGTAACTTTTGTTACCAATGCCTTAAACAGTATCACTTTAGAAACATTCAGATATTTATTGAATGAATGAATTTATTGAATGAGTTCAGTCCTATCTTACCAGGATCAGTCATCATTTGACTAGTGACCAGAGTATAGAAACCTTAAGGAGAAATGCATTTATTTTTTTCACTTAGTAACTTTGGATGTTTTCTTCTGTAGCTCATGGTTGATAGTAATTGATTTCTTATTAGTTTTCAGACATTTAAAACATGAAAGCACTCTTTCACAAAGGCATAAAGCCAGCTGAATTTTTTTTTAAATTAATATACATTTAACATTTGCCAATTGGAAATAGATGAAGTGTGAGTTATGTAATTTGCTGTCAGTTGTCCTAACAATGACTTAAACTTTTTCTGAGTTTTTTAAACTATAAACGAGGTGTGTTTTCAATTTTTAATGGAAGACATCATCTCTTGTGTAATCCAGTGTCTTCCATATAAAAATAACAGAATAAATACCACTTTATTTAGATATTTTTAAAAACCTCTCTTCTGATTAATTGGCTTATTTTATTTAATTATGTATGACTCATCACGTTTCCCCATTAGCCCTGACCAAGAACTAAGATTTAACTAAGAACTAAAAGCTAAATTTTGTGCTCTATTGTAGTAGCCTTATTAGCCTAGTTTTTGTAGTACCATTATCTCCCCTGCCTTCATTGACTTAATTCTTTTTTGAAAGTAAGTGAGGAATAAATATCTAAATGTCATCTGTTACATCTAATAGAAAGAGTATAATTCGGTGTGGCTTCTTGACAAAGATGACTTTCGAGCCTCTTTTTTAAAGATGGAGAGGTATAGACTAGATGGGAGGAAAAGAATGAAAATAGTTTTTGATCGGAATAATATGAGCAAAGACATTAAAGTAGGACTTGCTAGAATATTGAGCTGAGTTAGATGATCTTGAGAGGCAACAACAACAAAAGCATGTCTTGAGTCACAGTTGACCAGTTTCATCAGCGCAAATAAATTCGAATTCTTCGAGAGCATAAATAAATATAATAAGGGTTTTAGCTTATATTCGGGGTCACTATTCTTGGGGAGCTTTTTAATAGGTGTTGTATAGTGGAACAGTTTAGCTTAACCTAGTACTTTTTGCCATAATAGTGGTAATTATATATGTGTGTGTAGAATGAAAATTACTACTTTGTATGTTTATATAAATTACTATAATGCACTAATTATTATCACACTATTATAGTGATTTACTAATTATTAATAGTGTAATTCTTACTATATTATGAAATAGTGTTAAAGAAAATTTGTTAATATTTTAAAGTATTTACCATCTAGAATTCTTCTAGATGGTAAAATAAGCAATACTTCAAGTGTTTTTTTTTGTTTGTTTGTTTGTTTAAAAAGTAATTCTCATACGCAAGTGTATTTATATGTTATTTTATTTCCTGTAAATGCATTTTTCTAATTTTCCTTTGCTTTTCTCTCAGTTGTTTTACAGGTTTGCAGCCTGGTCCTTTACCCAATCAAGTTCATTGAAACTGTGAGCTTGAAAATTTACCATGAGTTCAACTGGGGTTACGGCCTGGCATGGGGTGCAACTATATTCTCGTTTGGGGGTGCCATCCTTTATTGCCTGAACCCTAAGAACTACGAAGACTACTATTAGAACCAATAGTCTCAAATTGGAAAAAAAAGATCCAACAAGGATTATGTCTGCATCTTTTTTAACTCACTATTTTCTAAAACACTTGTGGAGCATCAAGCAGTTTGCTCAGTTGATTTAATATCTTTTGCCTTTTGGCTGTCAACATCATAACCAGCTTTTACATCCATTTTAGGGACCTGCACAAATTAAGAGAGCTGATTAGACATAGGCAAATGCTGCAAACTTCCAATATGTTCATGTCATTTTTCTTGACAAGTGAAGGGTTTGTATGAGAGCAATCATTGTGAAAAACTAGTTGGAATGAGAAATGCCTGAATCTCCTATTGCCTGCAGGGGAGCAGCTGGCATAAGCCACATTTAGAAGTTCCTCTGCGCTGACAAGGATTTCACTGTTAGAGTCCTTATCACCTGCTTTTCCCACCCAGTAACTTACATTGACCATTGATTATTTACTTGAGTGAGCTCTTGAAAAGTGAACAGCTCATCAGTATCTAATGAGAGTTATGAATGTAACTGGTTAATGGTAGATATTCCACCTTCAAGAGTACTCTTTTTAGTGGGAGATTATGCTTTGGCAATCAACATTTCCCTGGGAAGGGAGTCAAGACTTGGAGACATGTGCTTTTTATTATGTGGTCAGAAATGGTGCCTCAGCTATATTTAGAATGAGGAAAACTGGGAGTCTCTGCTTTCCCTGGGGCAGCTAGAGAGAAATATGCATGAGTTGCTTTTGTCCTAAGTACCCTTAAATCATTTACCAAACATTATAGCAAATAATTGTGCATATATGACAAGCTTAAATATTTTTATAGAAGATGGACCATTAGTATAAATGGCAATAAGTTGTTCCCTAGCCCTACACTTGCATTTGCCTATTACACATTAATATTTGCTCTAGTGAAGTGATTTGAACACTAACTTGTACACATTGTTAAGAGGCTTAGATGGATATTCATTCACACTTATTTATCATACAAAAGTACATATACCTTAAGGCTTTTTGCTCTATGTTCTCTACTATTTCACTGGACAGTTTTAATAGAATTGTGTAAGAAGACAAATTGAAATGGTGTTATTCTGAAAATAATTTTCCTGTAAGCACTGTAGTTTAAAAGAGAGTAGCAATTAGGATGATCATTTTGTTTCAGGTTTATTAAAATAGAAGGCTGCCTTTTTTTCAAGTATTTTAAATGTCTTTATTAAAAAATAAAGGAATAGCGATAGATTTATATAAATGTCTAAATGTCTCAGTAGAGGAATAGAATTCATTGGTTATCACCTGGTCCTCTGAAGTTAAGGGACTGATTTGTGCATACAATTAGGATGGATTTATGTTAAGGGAATTATTCGTTGACTGTTCAAATGGAAGGAAATATCAATAATAGGGAATAAGTTTGCAACTGATCTCACTGCAAACTTGTTAACCCTGTTTAATATACAAATTTGGATAGTTTAATTATAAACATATTTTTATATCAAATATACAGCTCTAATATAAAAGTTATAAATAATTATTTTTGTTAACAAAGACACTAAAACAGTATGTCCTAGTTTTGGCCCTCTTGCAGAAAGAAGCATTGGAAAAATAATTTAAAACATACCTATGTTCTCTTGTGTTGCAAAATCTGTTAAGAGCAGGACCACATCAATAGTATTTAATAATTTGCTTTACCTCCCAAAGCAGAGTTGTGCTTTCAGCTTGTCTTAAGAACTGTTGCCAAAACAACAGGAAAAAAAAAGAACTATTTTATTATTCAGATGCTTAAAAAAAACTCTTAGGACTTTTCTATAGAATCACAAATTATGGAGAACCAGGCTAATTGTTTTAGCAATGACAGACAAAAATGACTAAATGCATCCTAGAGAAACCATTATAAAAGTATATGGTTCTATATAGAATCATAAACTGAGAGAAAATTTTCTAGGAAGATATTAGTATTATGGAATCTTTTGAAGCAGTTTCCTTAAGAAATACATAGTAAAATCTGGGCCAGACTGTCTTGCAGTTAATTACATGTTGTCAGAGCAGCATGAGAAATACGGCATTTGTTGGAAAGGGATTTCAGCTACTAAACACTCTCTATTGTGAGAGAATCTCTTTATTCCTAAATAATGGAAGAACAGTACTTGGATGCTGACATCAATGAGGCACTTTTCTTAATCCTACTGGAGGATGCAGTGTGCTGTGAGACAAATATCACATCTCGAGTCTTACCAAGTTTTCATTCTGTCAATATGACAAACTGGAATGTGACAGAATATGTTATTGGCTAAGGCACACATGTTTGCAGTTTACTGAAAAGTAGATTTCTTATATAGCATTTTCCCCCTCCCCAGTGAAGAGCCCTGTGCTATATTTCTACCATCACTAATGTTTGAACGTGTTTCATTGCTAACCAGGTCAGTGTAACATGAGTTGTTGCTCATCTGAAATACTATTTTGTCTATCAGAATAAACACAAGTGAATTTTCCACTTACATTATGTCTTTGCATCTTTAGGTTTACGTGATGTTTTCTTATAAGCAAAACCGTTAACTGTAAACCCATCGTTTATCTTAGAGAGAGATACACATGCACACATATAGCAAAAAATAATCAGCAGGGCTAGTTATTTGGATTTCTTGCACAAAACTATTTAGCTTTTTGTAAGTTCAACATGTAAATTTTAAAGACAAATATAGAGAGTCATGTGTTTGAAATATAAATGATATATATGGATTAGCATGTACCTGTATATTATTAAACATGCAATGAACCGACTGGTAAGTGACGTCTAATTGTATGGCTAGCAATGTAATTTATTCAGACTGTATTTTTGTACAGAGCAGCGCACACTAACCTATGCCTCTGTGTCCTCTTTAATGCCTAAAACTGTGCCTAGAAATTTCATCTGTCTTAAAAAAACGAAATATACTTCATGCTGTTTATGCTATTAGTTTACTGCTGTTCTATATTTATTATTTTTAAATATATGACATGTTTAATACTACTTAAATATGAATTCATGGTATTCTGGTCATTTTTTCTAACAATCCTCTGGGGGAAACCTGTTTATCACTCCAGTGGTTTTGAGTTTGCAGTTTCACGATCAGTTCTTTTCATGATTTTTGTAGCTGACATGAAGTTATCTATGTGGAAAAAAATAAAAATAAAAGTGATTTCACTGATGTGGTTTGACTTTTTGTCATCTCTACTGTGTAGAACCTTTAACAGTTTCTAAACTACATGTCTTCAGTTTATTTTCTCCTTTATAATATATATGATTTAGAAAACACAGCTTAATATGACATGATCATTTTGTGTAAATATTTTTAAACTATGTTTTATTTCAAATTATCTCCCAAGATCCTTTTTATCCTCTGCAGTCAAGTTATATGAACAACAAAGAAAAACATAACATTACTTCTTTTTAAACTTGCGTTTTAAAATACACAGCAAGAAGATACAGTATGGGCTATCCTTTTTCCTACTCTCTAATAACGTGATTAGAAACAGGAGTAGCAAAAGTGTTTGATATTCTGTTTTGGTTTTTGTTTAGTTTTCAGTGTTTGCCAGATATGTTAAAGCAGGATTTCCTACATTATTTCTACTTTTTAATTAGACATGCTAAATTTTCAATACATGTGTACACGTGTGTATGTGAAGAAATTTGTAAAGTTAAAAATCAAAATATTCCATCACACTTTGTGTATATAAAATGGTGAGTATACTTGGAAAGTTAGGTAATAAAATTCACTTGTATGATTGTCAGATAATTGTCTTCGTTATAAATAAAACTATATAATCGAGCAAACTTTCTTATTGATAAAATTAGTTTTATTTTTGCCATGATGTCCTTTTCATGTCTCATAAACCTTCAAATTTTGAGAGGTTCACAGTATATTTTACTATTAAAAATATAAATCATCTGCAAGCCCTATGATATATTTAATATCAAACTTTCAAAGATATGCATATTTAAGTTATAAATTCTGACATTTTTGCATATTTTCTATCATTTTGGAAATTTTCCTTTTCAATGGCCTTATTTTGATTTGATAGAGTAGCATCATTCATTTGATGTGTTATATTTTCAGTATAAAGTATTTTCATTTTCTTATACAGAATTCTTATAAGCAGAACACCTTTACAAACATGTCCTGCTTGGTAATTACCCGTGACTCTGAATTTGGAAGACATGGAGACATAACCTAGGATTTGACAGAGAAAATCCTTTGCCTTCAAAGATTTCACCATGAACATGAAACAGGAAAGCAATTTCAATTTGCTTTGCCATAATGGCCATATAGCCAGTTAGCAGTTTGTTTTATAAAGTCGAGCCCATAACATGTCAACAATGTTCTGTGTTTAAGTCATCATTTTTAAATCATTGCGGTTAGAAAATAAATTGGTAGTGAAATTATTTTGTATTCTGTAGAATAATCCACAGAATACTTGGATTTCTAATTTACCAGATTTTCATGCCATGACCTTACATTAATCACTTTTCAGAAGTGCAACCTTAAATGAGGTAAGATTAAAAGAGCAAATAAAAATTAAAATTAAGTGCTTAGTATTTTCACAGGAAGCACTAATTTGAATAATTTAACTTTTATATCAAGTGTTAGAACATGGTATAGCTAGTTAATGTCAAAGTTAAAAATCAGAGTAAATAACAACTTCCATGTAATAAAATACTAACAATTTTTCTTAGATAAGGCAGATTTCCAGATTGGGAAGTCCTCACATTTTTAACAACTACTAAATGTTGCTATGAGCAGAGGTTCATGTATCTATACTTGGAAAATCTTTTCAAAGAGTCACCAACTAGGTGACTCACACATTTATATTCCAGCAGTAAGTCTAATGGTTCCAAAGTATAAGAGAACAGGAGCTGAACTGTTCAAGTGGGAAGGCTAATATGTGGTGTTTCTAAGCCAAGATTAACAGCACACAAAGAATGGTGTTCTTTGTGAAACTGAAGCTGCGTTGAGTGGTTCACCAGAGAAACTCAGTTTTGGCAAGCAATTATTTCCCAGTTGAATGACTTCATAGGAATAATGATTATAAAAGAAGCTTGGAACAAGTACTGGAAAATCATGTCATCAAACCAGCAAAAACCTTGAATACTTCAATTTGTGCATGTGACAAAGATTGAAAAAATAGTATAAATAATTTATATATAATATGCAAATATGTATAATATATAAAATATAAATTCATTATTACATATATGCTATATTAAACATGGTTGAGGATGGGTCTAGATGATTTGAAGGCATTTCTTATACTACAGAAGAGGCAATCAGGGATGGAGTTAAACTTAAAACATTACATATATGGGGGAGATTCAAGATGATGGAGAAGTCTGCCAACTAACTGAAAAATAAAAAATTATTTAAAAAAAATTACATATATGTGATGATGTTACTGAAGACTATTCCTCATATAGCCTATTTAATTATTTAAGAAAAATCTAATTCACGAGGAAGAATTCAAAGAAATTGTTTCAATCTGAACAGAAGGCATTTCTCTTAAGATGAATGGAGAGTTAAATTGTTAAGGAGTAAATGCAGGAGATACACTCCTTTGATGGTCTTTGATACTGTGGTAGCTGAAAAGACAGATAATGCTATCATGCTTGGCATCCTCTCTCAGGCAAACTTCTGTATCAGTGTTTGGAGAGGAAGTTCCCTTTTGTGGCCATGTCACTGCTCAGTGGTAATGTGGCAACTCATGGCATCAAGAAAAAGTTTTCCGATTTTTAACTTTTAGATGATTCTTAAGCATTATAAGAGAACAGGAGCTGAACTGTTCAAGTGGGAAGGCTATTATGGTTGTGTTAATTATTTTACTAGTGGTGTGTCCAAAAGAAGCAAAATGAGAAATTATAATAAAACATTTAACAGTTATGGTCATGAAAAGTATGTTTCTCATTCAACTCCAATGAATGCTGTTCACTGTTGGAAGAAATTTGGCATAAATTTGACAAAATATAGAAATCCTTATAGAGGCATAATGTTTCACATAACATTTCTGGTTATATTTTCTGAAGACCTTGATATTTTTAAATGCTTCTTAATGAAGCAGAATTTTGGAAAATTCCATTCCCAAAATATTTCTTTGCAAACCTCAATATTTAACATCTTTCTAGCCAACTTTCAAGATATGGAATACTTTGAGTTACTTTCCCCCATTTTTTTTTTCAGGCATGTATAAACATTTTTTCCCTTAACTATATCAGAAAGTCAGTAAACATTAGTGCATATTTAGCCAGGCATTTGAGCTTTGTGAAGTTTAAATATAATCCTAAACACTGACCTCTTCCCGCTGCTGCTGATTGCATGACATCTTTGAATCAGAAATGCTCTGAAAGTTGAGGCAACAATTAAGACTTATTTGACTATCATGCTATTTGGATGGCGAAAACCCATGTAGCTTGCTGTTTTCCTAAAGTTAGGCTGGTTTTGAATTATTAGTATAAATATGTACAAATTTCATGCATTTATATACTTGGAATGGTTTGCATGTTATCTACATTGGAACTGGAGCACTTTTAGAATTATTTACAATTTATGGAAATATCAAGTTAAAGTTTAAAGACTGGAGAGAAATACAGGAAAGGGGGATTAAACTGTTGGATCTTATAACTTTTGCCACCTAGTCATAACTATGTGATATAAGACTGTGCAGGTGTGAGAGTAGAAATCTGACAGGTTGATGTAATTGATTAGCTTTCAGGGTCTATGCTCCATCCTTAGTGATTTTTCTGAGAACAATAGAGGACTTGGCAGGCAGCCATATTTGCACCACATGACCCTGCACCCCTGGTCAGAGGTGATTACAGCAGAGATGGTTCCTGCCTTAGGCTAGTTCCCTCTGTTTCTCTTGCCCATTAATTTGGAATTGGTCTCTGCATGTAGCTAGTAATAAAATGCATAAACTATGAGGTTTGGTGGTGTATGCAGGGATACAAAGAAAAACTGCAGAGAATAAAAGGAATGAAATAGATATTCAGAGAAAAGCAGTCAAAAGAGATCATGTAAAACCCAAAGGGAATGAAAGTGAGTGGTCCCAGTTCCTAGTAAAGTCAAGCTGCCTTGTGTTCCATGAAATACTTGTATGTCCTTCCAGTAATTTTCTTTTTCAATTATCCTGTTTTAGTTGGAACTAATAGAACCTTTTGTTAGACAAAGCACCCTTTGTTAGAAGGTTCAATATTCAGGTTGTGCTAAATCTCAGAAAAAGGATTTGGAAGTACATGAAGATTTCTTGACACACTTCTCATCTCACACTAGGGTGCCCAACACTCTCCTTCATTGTCAAATATTGCTCCCAGTTGTCTCATTCACAGAAAAATGTAACTAGGTGAAAATATTTTAGTGTAAACCCTTCTGTGTGTATATTTTTTCCAAGATCAAAGTCATGTGCTAAAGGGGAAAAAAGTCAATAATTATCAGATGGCATGAAAGTTGCTTTGGAATCTCTGAAGCCACTCATTGTAATTCCTCCTCCATCTCACATCTAGAATGCATTAACAATTTACATGCGCTGCACAATTCCAGAAAGCACTATTCACATATGTTCTCCAAGAATGCTAGTCTTGCTGAACCTGCCTCTTTTTTTTTGCATTTATGGCTTCTCTTGAGTTCAGAGTAATACCTCACACATAATAGTATCAACCAAGATTTCCGTTGCCTTCACTGTAGTGCTGCTTTGGGCTTATGGGAATCAAGCCCAAGTAGAATTAAGTATGTTGGAACAAACCCATTAATTGTATTTGGTAAAAGAGTTTACTCATCCAACTCCTCTGGAGACCTGATCTGCATGCTTGCTTAAGCAAGTCAACCTGTCGGTTATTATTATTCTTGGATCATCTTTTGGCTAACATAGTGGTTCCTTAAGTGAAAGAGTATGCACAAGCATGGATAACTGAACCCAAGATTAAGGATTTAATCTCCCTCCCATTTGTGTTCCCAAGTCAACCTAGGATTAAACAAGAGATGGGGAGTCACCCTCTTCCCTTCTTGCTATTGTGTCCTAAGGCAAATCTGTGTGTGTGTGTGTGTGTGTGTGTGTGTGTGTGTGTGTGTGTGTGTGTATGTTTTAAGTAAAGATCATTACTTATTCATGATAATCCACTGACATATGTGTTTCGATATCGGATATGCTATGACATAAACACCTT